AGACAAAAATAATATTAACAAGAACCTTAGCATCGACATCCATAAAAACTGGCTTCAATTATTAAAATAAAATAGAATGTTTATACAGTCGCAGGCGAGGCTGTGTGCAACACTCGGAGAAGGGTAATGTTACAAATTACGAGGCATGCGGGGGAGTCCGTCAAGTCGGGAAAAAAGAGGGGAGGGGAAGGGAGCGGGAAGTACGGACACACAAGTCACAACTATCGACGTAACAGACTGAAGAGGGGCGAAAGCCCGAAACGCGTTTCTGTAAGAAGTAAATGTAGGTGATGGAATTATTTGCCAAGTGTCTATAAATGCACCAAGTCGTGACATAGAATCAGAAGAAACAAGAAAAAGAAGACACGGTTTCGACAAATAACTAAAACAAAAAAAAAACTCTTACTATTTTAATATATATCTTTTAATTTTACACTTTTTACATTTATTGTACATATGTTAATAATTTTTGTAACTGACAATCAATAAGACGGATAAGCTTGATAATCCTTAGCAAGATTAGCAATATTCGGTTCAAAATTTGTAAGTTTTAATCTTTTCATCGACCCCCCCAATAACGTTATATCGACCTCTAGGGGTCGATATAGACCACTTTGGCGACCCATTTTACACCAATAAAGGCTAAGATCTCCTAAGATAACTATCAAGGACTGTGTCAATTTATACCCCAGGTAAACATCATGTGTTGTGAGTTGTAAACACACTCTTTCTCTCAAATTGCAAAATTAGACGTGACCTTAGTGAAGGACTATTGATAGATCTGTCAGTTTGTTATTTTCTTGTTTAATCATTTCATGTTTAAATAACAATTGTTGTTACCATGTGGATGCATTGCCAATTAAGCTACCTAGACTTTTATCTGATCCCTTGCATGAAGATTTGGTCAATGCATCCTCATGGTAAGTGGCAGTTGCAAGTTTGAATCCTGTACCGAGCCAATTCTTTTCATCCAGAATTTTCATTGTTATCTAATAATGTATCTGAGTGATTTATCTTTCGTGATGCCTCTCAAATTCTTCCTCCATTCTCTTACTCTAATTCCCCATATGGATTCTCATGAATTAGGCATGAACAAAAACCTAGATTGTGTCAGCAGGGAAAACTTGGTCATATCACATGAACTATCATCATGTGATGACCCCATTTCCAGTCATGTGACCCTCAAACACACACACACAATCACTAATGTTTAGTAGTCACAAGTGTCTGATCTGCACATGTGAAGTCTCTTAGTACTGTACATTGTATTGCATTGTTGTGTAACAGTAAAGTTAAAATTTGTCCTCATTTTGTAAAAGTAGTAATCAAAAACTAGATTTTTGACATTGGAATGTTGCATGCAAAGAGAGAAAGAGAGGAAAAAATTGTAAAACCTTATGAGTACTTAGAATAAAGATAGACACTCCCAGTTGCACAATGGTATTAGATTTTAGATCCTTATACCCATCAATAAAAATTCAACTGTGTTTTTGTGTGCTCAGAGACTTCCTTCTTTCTAACATAGAGGATACCACATCGCACAACAATGTACTCGAGTTAGCGCATCTGGCTTGTTACAATTTCGTATTCCAATTCAAGAGCACTACATACACACAGGGAAGAGGTGTGCCAATGGGAAGTCCGTTGTCTGTAGATTTTTGCAAAATGGTGATCAGAGCATTAGAATAAAGATGTAAAAAATCATTTTTTCCCCCTTGCATCACAATAATATGAGATGACACTAATAATGATGTGACAAAGATGCTTATGAACCCAACATTACAGGTTATTCCACATCTCCTTACAGCTAAGATCTGGCACCATTGGACTTCTGATTGCATATAGTTTGAACTTTAATGATGCTATTGCAATATATATGCAATGGCTCAAGCAACTTATGGTCATTCTAATTGCAATTCTCATAAGTTTGAATTGGCCTTAAATTTATTGAAAACAGAGTCTTCCTTTAAGAAATATGCTGCTTAACACGTTAACTGCCATCTGCTGTGCCAGTGGTTGTACTGGCCTCGGCCATACAGCACCATCTGCCTGCCCAACGTCACATAAGCAATGAAGTTTCACTCAAGGTTAAATTATCCTGGTTTCGTAAGACGTTGTTCTATATGCTAGTGGTGGCATCTCACAGACATCTATGAAGTTGGTTTCAACCGCCGGTGATTGTATGGCTCTGAACGTCCCTTAGCTACAACTGCCGACATGTCATATGGCCTCATGAAGTGGTTTGATGGCCGGAGGTCGTAGTTCTTTTTAAATAAAAATCTATTTTATATCTGATAGTGTTGTTTTTAATAGTAAATAGTTTAAAATATCAAGAACTAGTTTAATTATTCTTTTTTATCACATATAAAGCAAATAATATTACAAAAAAAATCAAGGTGTATAAGTGCAAAATAATATATATTTACAGAAAAAAACAACACATGTGCAGTCCAAACAAATTGTAAAATACTTAAATACTTTTAACACACAGATGTGAAAACTTTTAAGTAAGGGAGCAGGTCTAATTACAGCGGGTTGTAAAATAAATAGCCAGGGGAGAAATAGTCTCCCGTTCAAGGCCATACGACTGCCCGTTTNAAATATCAAGAACTAGTTTAATTATTCTTTTTTATCGCATATAAAGTAAATATTATTACAAAAAAAATCAAGGTGTATAAGTGCAAAATAATATATATTTACAGAAAAAAACAACATGTGCAGTCCAAACAAATTGTAAAATACTTAAATACTTTTAACACACAGATGTGAAAACTTTTAAGTAGAGGAACAGATCTAATTACAGCAGGTTGTAAAATAAGTAGCCAGGAGGAAATAGTCTCCCGTTCAAGGCCATATGACTGTCCGTCCGCCATTCATATATCTTTCTTATCTTCGCTCTGCTGACTGTTATATAATGACCCTTTTATTTATATTATAATAAAATATTAAATATCAAATTTTCTTATTTTGGCATGTCATTATGCAAAATATCATATTACAGGTGGCAGTTAACGTGTTAATTAATATAGTTTTATTTAAACTATGATGAGTTTTAGTAAACTTAATTACAAAAATTGATTGCTTTCTTTCTAAATTGCTATACTGTACTTGACTTCAGAAAGTTTTTATTTTGAAAAATTTAATTTCTTAACATTAAAAAGTTTATTTTTTAAATATAGTACAGATTTTTATTACAATTGAATAAGAAATATGTTTTAGGCAACTTGTCTTCTTGAGCTTTAGCATCACCACTTTATAAATTGAATTGAGAATTATGTGTAAATTTTAGTATAGTAAATAGTAAATGTCATAGTTTACTATAATTATTATTTAATTAAACAAACAGTTATATTTTAGAATTGTATTAATTTCATGATAAAATNCTTTTATTTACATTATAATAAAATATTAAATATCAAATTTTCTCATTTTGGCATGTCAATACACAAAATATCATATTACGGGTGGCAGTTAACGTGTTAATTTGCATAATTTGTTGATTAATGACAATCAATTTAAACATTTAATGAAATAACAGTAAAATTTATTTATTTATTATTATATAGATTCAAATAATCATTCAGACTGACCATCAGAGATGCTTATAAATACATGTTTGTTTGAACATTGTTGCCATGAAGACAAGCACACATTAACTGAAGTGTTGCAGTGTGCTTGATTCCACAGCAACACATTCAATCAAAAAATTTATGCAATTATACACATCATATTAATATTTTATATAAACAATATAAATAAATAATTATTGAAGGAATTATATTTTCTAATTGATTATTCATCTAATTTAATAATAATATATTATGAAAATGAATTTGACAATACCTTATTACTGACACCTGCAAACTTTCCTAAATCCCATCTTGGTATTTTCACAACACAATAATCTAAACTGGGCTCGAAACAGGCAGTAGTTGAACCTGTTACAGAGTTACACAGTTCTGGTAAGGATATGCCCAGTGCAAGTTTTGCAGCAATGTAAGCCAAAGGATAACCGGTGGCTTTGCTGGCAAGTGCTGAACTCCTAGACAATCTAGCATTTACTTCCACAATATGAAACTAAATTGTTTGTTAATAGAATTAATAAGTTTAATTATATTTCAAAGAAATATTTTTAATTAAAGAAAGAAAAGTAATTTAACCTCTTCAGAATTTGGATTTAGGGCATACTGAATATTGCATTCTCCGACCACTCCAAGATGTCTTATCACTTTAATAGCAGTTGTGCGAAGACGATTATATTCTTCATTTGTGAGAGTCTGACTTGGAGCTACGACTATTGATTCACCAGTATGGATTCCTAGAGGATCGACATTTTCCATATTGCATACCTACAAAATAAAGTAATACAAAATTAATTTAAAATTGAAATTTACAAATTAATACTTGTGTACTGTGTGGTATGCTGAAAAAAGTCTTAAATTATAAAAATAAAATGCTTATATCTTGAGATTTATAAAATATATCAGCAACTTCTCTAGGAAGCCTATTTTATTTTATTCTGAAATCAACATAACACATCTTTCCAACTATTTTTGAGTTATGAAATCTATCCCTGAAAAACAAGTTTTAACGTACTTGAGAATACAGAACATTTTCCTTGAACATACCTAGTTTAAACTAACTGTAAAATCCATTTGTTGAAATATACGAACAAAATGTATTGGAGAATGTTGGTTAATACTCCAAGTTTCCAAGGGCCACTCAGAAATTTAAAAAATTGCCAACCATTACGTCAGTTTTAAATTTTTTTGACACTTAAATTATTTATTGCTACCAGTTTTACTTACTAATTAATGCAGATACCGATAGCCTTACCAGTTTAGAGTCTGGAAAGCAAAAGTAACATGTTAAGCTGTTACTCAGAAATAGAAATAATTTTTTAATAACTTTTTAATGAATTCAGAATAACACACTTGATCACAATGCTTAAACAATATTTCAGATAGTCTGTCAGGTCAAACATTTTTTGCTTTAGTCTACTGAAAAAAGATCAAATTGGAAAAAAATGTCACCCCAAAAATTCCCCAAATTTTCTGTCAGTCAAGAAAAAAAATCTCCAAACTGGAAATACTAGATGGCATTGCATGAAAACTGCCTTCAGTTCCTTCCTGCTTTCCTGCTTGAACTTGCGATATGGTGTCATGATACTGCTCAGTGTGTGGTGCATGAGACTTCCATTGCACAGGAGATCAACATTCTGCTGTTTTTCATGAAGTGTGCTTTGTAATTCAATTTCACATTGAATGCTGAAATAAGCAGACTAAGATTTTTATTCCCACTTTAATAAAAATATTGCCAAGTGGCAATTTATGGCACTATGCAGCATGACCTCGAGTTTCATGTACATATGCTTGAAAGGACTGCTGTTGCTGCTCAGTCTAGATCAGCGCTGTCCAACTTATCATAGTCCGCGGGCCATATTTTTTTTATCAAACATTTCGGGGGCCAAGAAGGTTGATAAACCACACGACATTTGCATAGTGCTACGGTTCAGTAAGCACTAATTGGTCAGCGAATCCGATGTTGACGCTATAAAAAGGCGACAGTTCGACACACCGGATATACGTCACTCTTGTCTAAGTTCGACTTGGGAATTTTTTTGTTCAATAATAAATGTAAATTCTTCTTCCTGGAAAAAATAAGACATTCCCTGAAAATAAGACCTAGCGCAGGGGTCGGCAACCTTTTAAGTCGTAAGAGCCAAAATTACAATTTACAAAATTTCAAAGTTTTTAAAGAGCCACAAAATTTTTTCTTGCCAACAATAAATAGTACTCGCATAAATAAAGTTTTTTTGATAAAAAAAAACTAATCTATTTATTCATAAGGAAAAATATCTATATATTCATATATAAGTAGTGTTTTTCACAACAAATTAGATAATAGAAACATCCGACGACGGCGTGTCACGGGGAGGGGTGCGGTGAAAAGCAAGTACAAGTGGCTGAAGAGAGAGAATCAGTGCCGAATCCTCGTTAATCGATTCAGAACGATTTTTAAATGTTTTTGTTTTTGATAAAATAAATAATATTTGCGTATGGAACTAAAGAGCCGCAGCTTCACATCCAAAGAGCTGCATGTGGCTCGCGAGCCGCAGGTTGCCGACCCCTAACCTAGCGCATTTTTCAGAGCAAAAATTAACATAAGACAGTCTTATTTTCGGGGAAACACGTTAGTAAAATAATTTTAATAATAATAATAATAATTTAGTAAAAAATTTATTCATAGTAAAATGTACTCGAGGGCCGTAAAAATTATTTGGCGGGCCGTATACGGCCCGCGGGCCGCCAGTTGGACAGCGCTGGTCTAGATCATTAGCCCAATTCTTGGTTTATTTAATCACCCAACATCATCTCTTTAAACTTTTTTCTTTGTGCATATGTCAAAAATTGTGTTTGCTATAAAAGTGCCAGACACTTGAGCCTCACTTATAAGAATCATGGGAGCCATTAACAGTGTGACACTTAACATGCTTGCTCGGACATCAACCAAAATCAAATATAGACCAGAAATCGTGAAGAGCATATGTGGAATTTTATTAATTTAATGTAGTAGCTAACCTTCTCAGATGCACTTTCTATTACCATTGTCTACATTATTATACTCACATTTCTTTTCCCAAAATTAATCCACAAAGCTAGTGATGTTCAACACACTGTACATTATATATTGGCTTCTGACTCCAACAACACAGGTTTCTTTATAGATTTGTGTAAAGCTCAAACTTTTTTGAAGTTTTTGAAATACAGTAGAACCTCAATTATCCGGACTAATTGGGGATGAAGGTAGTCTGGATAAGGAAAAATCCGGATAATCAAAACAAATACTTTAATTTGTCTTTTAATGATAATACAACACGTTTTCTTTTCGATGACATATCGGTAATATTAAAAGTAAATACTGTATTTAAATCGTGATCAAATTTTCAAGAAACAAATGTTCATATTGAATTTGGACTACTACTGACCAATGTTAACAGACTACCTATTGTTTAAAAGGCCCTCTGGTGGCGCAAGAAGACGGATTTTATAAAATAAAAAGCAGTCAAAACTGCATTTTTATGAATAAAAATTTGACAAACTATTTATCGTTTTATGATGAGTAAAACTTTTTCGTGGCATTCGCAGCTTTTAAGTAATGCATAAACCTTCGAAATGCGAGGCTCTTCAGACCGCGAGGTATAGATGGTGGCCCACATTGCCCATGCCTTACGCCGCCCTTGGTCATAGAAATGATGTAATTTGAAAATAAATTATTTATAAATACGTATGTCAAGTTATATTTTTATTACAACACAAAATATATTTAAGAGTTTACGGCCACTGTGCTGGGTAAAACGTTGAAACAAAAAAAGTTATGCATTCCATCACGTACATGAACAGTATCGTAATTCGCCAAGTGCAAATCAGCAAATTCGTAAAATTTTTGTTTATTTTGAACAATCCGGATAATAGAGGTTCTACTGTATATCAAAGACTTAAAGTATTGATATGGATTTCATACAGGATGATGATGATGTGAGGTAAATGATTTTGTACACAGATAACACTAAAGATAAATGCATTATCAAAATCAAGATGAACTTACTACACAACAGAATACTTGTTTTAAAATTGGATGATCAAACAAACATTTATTTGCAAGGAGTAGACTTAGCTGGGAACCAGATTTATTTATTTAGAGTTTCAAATGTCATTTATTCCCCAATTTTATAATAGATAAATGTTCAAGATTTAAGTTCTTGTAACTTGTTAATAAGAATAGTTAATGTGAGACCTGAAAGGCCCCTGGGTCTAAATTAGTAATTTTATTAATAATGTTAAATATTGTCACAAAATATTATTTCATTTTTGGTGAGAAAGTAACGTTTTCCAACGTGGGAAAAGGCAGATAACAGATGTTACTTCCTTTGAGGGAAGTTCGTACATCCTCTGTTTTTCCCTTATCCGCTAAAAATCTCGCCCAGATGGGAACTATCTACCCCTCTTTGATTCCCCTTTCATCCGTTCACATGAAAGAGTTTCTGGCAGATGATTGGTCGTAAATCATGAGATATAGGGGAAATTTGTCAGAATTCGGGGAGTTCATCGACAGATCTGGAAGTGTCCGGACTCCACACATTTTCCTCCTGATGACCAACGCCCTTAGATGAGTCGCATAGAATAATTCCAGAGTTAGCACTTAGAAGTTATACTTTGATTTTGGTGCACATATCGATCTCCCATGGAAAGAAGTAAATGAACTTTATCTCCAAAGTGTCCCTTGCCTACAGAGAAGAAGACGAACGACAACTAAAACAGGTTGTATGTTTTATAAGAATGTTGTAATCTCTCTCTTGATCTTGCATCGGTTATAATAGGGTCGCGTCTCTCTCGATTTATATCATTCTTTCATTTGATATTTTGTATTACTTTATATTTTCTTATGTTTTATTAAATTTATTATTATTTCATTTATAATTAAAATGTCTCTTAATTTGAGTCCGAATCAGATCTCACATGCGTGTTTGTCCGCGGAATTTAATTGACAAACTGGTGTCGGGAACCTGACGAGCATCTGGACTTCACAGTTCAGATCTACTAGCGATTATCGCTCTCCTATAAAAAGTAAGAAAACCGATCTCACGATCGCGTGCCTGTAAGTGGCGTAACTTTGTTTACGTCCCCGGCTATCTCACACTAACTTACAACATTGCTGCATTTATTCTATGTAAGAAAAATTTTTTGATAGATCATCTGAAGTTTGCTATAACTTTAATGGTAACAAAGGACAAAGTACTTTTATTCTAATAAATTGTATTTCATAGGGGCACTGTTGAGCAACCATTGTTGCTGGTGACTTTTTGCTTGAGATATTGTTAATACTATTCTTATGTAAATTATAGAGTTTTTTCTACTTAATTTGTTATGTTTTGCTGCTCTTTTGTATCATTTTGTGTTACTATAAGCTTTATCTTATTGGATATGTTTCTATGTACTCCCCTGAAGGGTTACAGCATAGCCAAGATGACTGGAAGGGAATTAAGCATCAATGCTCACTGAGAGACCCAGGAGCTAAATTACCAAAGTTAAAAAATCTCCTTCAGATACTGATAAAGAAGAAATGTCATCTTTATGGCAGTACAGGTAGCCCTCAGTTTACGCCGCAGTTCCGTTCCTACAAAAGCCGGCACAAATCGAATTGGCGTAAAACAAACCCATATTTACACTGAGGTATAGGGTTAGGTTCCACATAAGTGAAAATACGCAAATAATTTTGTTTATTAATACAATATAATACAAAGTACAAATTATTTTATGATAAAATACATTTTAAAAATTAAATTTAAGTTAAATGTTTTTATTAAAAATTTTAGTTTCGGATCTCTTACATTTTTCGGAAAAAGTATCCATCTTTAAGACTCAGAGGTGAACATTACTGTTCAAAAGATGCAAATGCACCGTGTTCCTGGGATAAACAATGTTTCACCATCTTTAATTGTTTATTCTGGTAGAACATTAATTCCTTACTTGGTTAAGCTATTTAATCAGGTTTATGATACTGCTAATATTCCAAAACCGTGGTTAGATATAAATATTAAGGTTATTCATAAAAAAGTCCAATTGATGAGCCTGCTAACTTTTGGCCAATATCATTGTTACCTGTAGTTCAGAAAATCTTTACGTCTATTTTGGTGAAAAGATTGGGTATATGGCTCAGAGAGAGGAATCTTATTCAACCAGTCCAATTTGCTTACCAACCTCGAAAGAGCACTTTGAGTAATATTTTAATTATTCACTCCTTGATTTGTAGACAACTTTCAAAGAAAAGACAGTGTTTACTGGCTGTCTTTATAGATTATGAAAAAGCTTTCGACAGTGTAGTTTTGGAGATCCTGTTAGATTTTCATTAGTGCTAGATTTACTGATGCTTTTCTGTTAGAAAAGGGTTTATCACAAGGTGATTCTCTAAGCCAGTTATTGTTTATCTACTATGTTAATGATATGGTTCATGCTTTTGATGATCTAAGCAAAGATTCCATTTCTTTAGGTGATTATGATGTCCACTTACTCCAATTTGCTGACGATACAGTGAATCTACAAAGAATCTACCAATCTATCTACAAAGAATATCGGATAGATTACTTAATTCATCATCTACTTTGGGTTTGCGTATCAATTTTTCAAAGTCAAAAATATTAATCTTTAGACAAGGTGGAAGGCTGAGAAAAGCAGATAAGTTTTCTTAAATGGAAGAGAAATTAGTATTGTTAATGAAGTTACTTATTTGGGGATTTGCTTGGTAGCCTCTGGTTCATTTCTAAATTATACATCTTATGTTAAAGATAAAGCATTCTCTAAAATAAATTCAGTTATCGGCATTTTGAGAAGAGTAAGGAACAATACAATAAATCTGGCTTATGGAACCTGTAACCGATGCATATCACTTTTTCTTTCAACAACCAAACGTTTTCATAACCCCTTCTGGGTTCTTCATCAGGATAACAGCTGGATCGAATAGCAAACAACGAATTCAACAGGGATCTGGTATACGTGGGATCAACTAAACGCTCGTTAGAGGTTAGATTAAAAGAGCATATTTCGGATATACATCACAACAGGCACACAACCTCACTCTCCACCTATGCCACTGATCCCGATATAGTGGCGGACTTCAATGCAGCACGGATAATTGCCTCCACACCACATATTCATCAACTAAAATGGCTAGAAGAGATGGAAATTTTTAGGGTGTATGACAAATCCGAGTGTATTAATTCAAGAGAAGAGATTAGCCTTTCCATGGTGTGGCAAAACCTACTCCATAAAGAGTGATAACGAAATTATATTAAGCCTTAAAAATAAACGATATTAGGGAACACGAGAATATTAAATAATCTTTATATCTCAATAACACGTTGTGGATCTTTCTCTTAAATTTGAACATCGACCGTCGAATTAAAACAGTTTCAATCATATCACGTGACTGATTAAGCGAATGGAACGATTCAAACTCTAAGAAGTTCGGATTTATTCAAACTTTTTGAATTCGTTGTTTGCTATTCGATCCAGCTGTTATCCTGATGAAGAACCCAGAAGGGGTTATGAAAACGTTTGGTTGTTGAAAGAAAAAGTGATACGCATTGGTTACAGGTTCTGTAAGTCAGATTTATTGTATTGCATATAACCCGATGTGCAGTTGAGATTATATAATGAGTAAGGAACAGTCATATGGTTCTTTGTAAGAAATTAGCAGCCTCTTTATTTACTTCAAGTTGGTCTTATGGTCTGCCCTTCCAGGGGTCTTTCTGTTTTGAAAACATCAATTCTTTAAAGTTGATGTTTGTCCATCGTCTTTATGGCCTTGAGAGGTCATCCCAACATATGTAATTAGCTGAATTGGTATATGAATATGAATATGCTGAATTGGGTCTTGAGTTTTCCCAGAAATGTTTTGTTAAATTAACCTTAAACTTTTTGAGAAATATAATCTCTGACCCACCCTCTTTGGAATGCGTGGCATATTCTGTCCTGAAGCTCTCATCGACCAGAATATTAAAATATTGTTAGTTTACTAAATTGGAGGGACTCTTTAATAGAATAGGTATTTCACTTTCCTTAATAGACTCTTCTCCAGATGTTTTAAAATATTACACAAATACAATCTTATACAAGTTCAACAATCTTTTTCTTAGAGAAGAAAGTGACAGGATTCTCAAGGCTAAGTATCACACTTGGTACCCAGAAATATTAGACAATTGTTGGTGTTTTTACATCTACTGTCAGCAACTGCCATTCATAATTAAAAAAAAAAAAAAAAGATTATTCAGACCTGACTAAATAAGTTTCATTTAATATGGAAAAACTTGTGTATAGATTTAAGTTCTTCAGTTGCATGTCCTTATTGTCAGAAGGAAAAGGCAAACCTAAATCACTGTATGTTTGATTGTGAGAAATTAGATTATCTACGTCTATCAACATGCACCTTGTGTTATTTGTAAAGAATCAGACAATAGAATACATGGACTATTCTCTAGTAACGACTCAATTGAGTCTATTTGGTGTAAATATAATTTACTAACCAATGTAATTAAGATTGTTACTCCTCCACCTAAAAATTAAATTATGTACGGAATTTTCAAAATAAATAAATACATGTATTTCATAATTGTAAGTACATTTTTTTATAATCTTTCTTAAATTTTTTTTTAGTTGGTTATGTGTTTGCAGTTTATAAAGGATTTTCTCAGAAAAAATATTACTGAACTTTAGAAATTACAATTTCTTGTGTAACTGTTCTTTCTAAATTATACTAAATACAATAAATTTAAATCAAAAGCTCTTACCGTAATACAATTATCATAAGCATCTCTTACAACTTCATACTCTACTTCTTTCCAGCCTTTTAAACTCTTATCTAATAGAACTTGAGAAGAACGAACCAACGCTTGAGTTACTAAAGTTTTCAATTCTGCTTGATTGTTTGCAAATCCGGATCCCAATCCACCAAGTGCATAGGCTGATCTAACTAAGATTGGATAACCTAATGACTCTGCGACTTCTAAAGCCTATTAATGGATTATTTAAATCAATAATTGGATATTAATAATTGATTTATTTTACTTACTTATATTCATTAAGCCATTACCTCTGGGACAGAATATGCAGCAGCACTTGGAACAACACTTTCATTAATTTCTGCAACTTTCTCAGCAAATAATTTTCTGTCTTCGGAGCTAATTATAGATGTTATGGGAGTGCCAAGAACTTGAATTTTATATTGGTCAAAAATTCCAGCTTTTTCCAATTCAACTCCACAATTTAAAGCTGTCTGACCTCCAAATGTCAGAAGAATACCATCTGGTCTCTCAGATTTTATAACCTTTCAGTAATATACAATAATTATTAATTTTCTTTATAATAAATATATTCATAGTAATTAAACTTATTAAGTAAACATTATCACATTGACAACTAAACCAAAGCTTAATTGCTCATATTATGACTGTTGAGTTCAATGAAAGGGTATAGATAACAATGTTCCCAATTATTACAGCAATAATTAGCTTGTACAATTGTATTATACATCTAAATTATATAAATAGGCCTGAAAAAAAGATGTAGATTCTAGTAATATAACAGGCAATGCATCTGCATATCAGTCAGATGATGTATGTTTGAGTCACCTCACTTGGCCAACGTTTTCTTTCAAAATTTTTATAATTATGTATTAAATTAGTTTAATTATATAATTATTAATATTCATACAAGATAATTGTTTAATCATTCTTATTATAGCTTGAAATGATTAGTGAAACTTCAAAAGTGAACTGGATTCTTCATTTTTGCATGACATGCAAATAAAATACTAGCACTTTTTCAGACAGCTGATCATATTTCAATAAACAACAGTACTCCAATATACAATTGAATATTATAACTTACAGAAACCTGATCGGTCATTTTAAAATAGTCACAGTAGGTGTATGGATCCAATATCTGATTTTTGTAAATGTTTTGGAAGAAATAAAATGAAAATTTGAGAATCACTCAGTTTATTTAATTTACAATAATCATCATTTAATTGCTTGCAGTTAAGAATGGTTGATCAGACATAGTATAATTTGTCTTATTTACATAATAGTTTTGACCATTGTCAAAGTAATGCATTTTCTATTGCACTGTCATAATTAATCACTACAACTCTTGTGCTAATGATTCATTGATCATATTGCAGAGTACTGCCAAGTATGCGATGACTCATCATCTGCTGCTGCATTATTGTATGCACATAAACTTTAAAATGCAATATAGCTGAAACTATTCAATGTTTTGAAAAAAATGTTCTTTATTTCTTTATTTTATTTTTTTCATTCTCTTAAGAATGATACCTAAATCATCTTTTTATGACCAATTTGCTAAGAAGTTAGAAAGCATTACACTGTAATTGCCAAGTATGCTCATAGACATTCATGTAAAAAATGCTAACATTTTATATATCATACAGAAGTAAATCTGACTTAATATTCTATTGTTGTCAATATGCAAAATAAAACCGACAATTATTAATGACACTTAAACCAATATCTCTATATAATTCAACAAATATTCAAAGTATAATTCTATTAGGTTGTTTGGAAAGTAATTTCGTTTTTCTTACCACTAGACAGATTAGTCATATTTTTCCCACCATTTTCATTCTAAACTGTATTATTATTACATATTTTGACAGCTAGCATTTTAAGGCTTATTTGTAAAAACTTTTGTTTGATTTCATGCAATTGTTTATTTTTTGTGTCTCATCAAATATGGAAGAGCGAAAGCGTCATTTTCGGCATATTTTGCTCTTATATTACCGAAAAGGTAAGAATGCTGTTCAAGCGAGAAAAAATTGTGTGATGTGTATGGAGAAGATGTGTTGAGAGAAAGACAGTGCCAAAACTGGTTTACAAAATTTCGTTCTGTCAATTTTAACATTGAAGATACACCACGTTCTGGATGGCCAGTTGAAGCCAACGAAAACAAAACAAAGGTACCGATTGAAGCAAACTGCCAAATAACAACACGTGAAATCACTAAGAGATTAAATTTGTCAAACTGAACCGTTTATGATTACTTGAAACAAATTGGTTTCGTTTCAAAGCTTGATATATGGGTTCCACATGTTCTTAAAGAGAGATGCTCTCTTTGATGGGATTTTAAGGAAATTTTTTTTGGAGCTGTTACCAGACAATTTAACAATTGATTTGAAAGTGTACTGCCATCGACTAAACAAATTGAGTAATATCGTCAAACAGAAAAGGCGGCCAGAATTGATCAACAGAACAAGTGTAGTGTTTTACCACAATAATGTCAAATTTCACACAAGTTTGGTAACTCGTCAAAAACTGTTATAACTTACATGGGACGTGCTATCACACCAACCATATTCACAAGATTGAGCACACTCAGATTATTACTTGTTCCGGTCTATACAAAATTTTTTTTAACTGTAAGACATTTACTTGAAATGACAATGTCAAAAATCACTTGGATCAGTTTTTTGTAAGCAACGATCAAAATTTTTATGAATGTGAAATCATGCTACTACCAGAAATGATGACAACAGGTATTTGACCAAAATGGTCGATATATAATTCAATAAAATATTTTTTTTTTGTAACAAAAAGTTTGTTCGTTTTCCATGGAAAAAAACGAACTTACTTTCCGAACAACCCAATATATTTACATCTATAAAAATTGTAAAATAAAGTGAAACAAAATATATCATTACTTCATTAATATTATATAATAAATTACAAATTACAACAAAATGTGTCAAAATTGATAGGTTCTGAGCATTTCTTTTATAAATTATTGATACACAAACTATCAATACTAGAGATTATTTCAACAAAATTACTAACTTGAGTGACATATTCTATGGTAATAGGAAGAAAATACACTTTATCAGCAAGATCGGGAGATGTCTGCACAGTAGCAATGTTTGGATTAATTAGCACGCTTTTAATTTTTTCTTCCTTTAAAGCTTTAATGGCCTATAAGAGAAATTTGTAAAATTCAAGAAAATATCTGAACATTCCAAATTTATTCTGTATATTCAGAATTAATACAAACTTGTGAACCAGAATAATCAAATTCTCCAGCCTGACCAATGGATAAACCTCCAGAACCAAGAATAAGAACTTTATTTACACGTTTCAAAACTGGTTTCAAATTAATGGACTCCGGTATTCTCGGTTGCATGTAATAATCAATTAAATCTTTTAAGCATAATCTAAAATATTAATTCACTTATTAATATATCATCAATAATTTACAAAATTAAATTTTAATAATGTACTTAAAGGCATACTTTGTAGTTCCCTTCAAATGATTTTCAACAGATTTAAAGAATACGTCAAATAATACTTCTAAATCTTCTGGTCCAGCCTTATGTTCAGGGTGGAACTGAACACTTAAATAAAAGAAATCACTTTATAACAAAATTTACACAAATAATTTTTAAAAATAGGCTATTTACCTGAAAAATGGTAGAGTGTCATGAACAATACCTTCGTTTGTATGATCATTTGCATTCTGAAATAACATAGACCATCCTAAGGGTAGAGAATCGGTACTAACTGCAAAGCCATGATTTTGTGATGTAATGCAACATCTTTTTGTTCTTAAATGAACAGCAGGTTGATTATGACCACGATTACCATACCTACAATATTATAATCATGAGAAAACTTCTTAAATATAAATGTATTTATTAAAATATATTAGGGCAGATCAAAGAAAATGGAACAGTAGCCATTATTTATTTTCAAATATAATTACACAAGCACTTGTCCCACTGCTGCACCAAGCGATGAATACCTCATTCGTAGAAAGAGTTTGATTGAGATTGAAACCAGTTTTGAACAGTGTCCATGACTTTGCTGTCTGATTGAAAACGTCAACCCTGCAATGTTTTTTTTAGCAAACCAAAGATATGAAAGTCACATGGTGAAAGGTCGGGGCTGTATGGTGGGTGTTTCAATACATTCCACCGAAACTTCACAAGCACGCTCAGTGTGCGAGTGGCCGTATGTGGCCATGCATTGTCATGGAGCAAAAGCATTCCAGATGACAATGTAAACAGTGTACAGAGAACACTGTTTTCATTGTCCTCTGCACTTCACAACACCCTCTGCCGCTAAAAAACAAATAACACCACATTGCTCTTCTTTAGTCGCAAACATAATGCAGACTGATTGCCTGTTGGACAACACTCCTGGTAATACCATGTGGTTGCGAGCGCTTACCAAGAGTGAGTCCATTCCTCAATAGGGTTTCTCCTCTTTCACCTCCTGCTCTACATCTACACACAGTTTTATTACACTCACATATACATACACCGAATTACGACCACTGTTCTGTTTTCATTTGATCCACCCTTATAATAAAAAATTAAATCAATAATAGTCTAAGCTGGAACTTCACTGGTGAAGCTTGCTCAAAAGACTTAGTTGCTGGAAAAGCATTCAAGGTGTGTTTAGTTTAAAAAATTAAAAATAATGATAAAAATAGAATTTATTTTCTAATTTTATCCAACAAAATGTGAAAAATTTTAAATATTTAATGCATTATAGCAACTTTTAGTTTTCAAAAAGAAATAATACAGTAAAACCCAGGTAAGCCAGCACACAATGCAGGTTTTACTGTATTATCTAAGCTTGACAAGTCACAACTATTTTGGAAAACTTGGTCAATTTTTTGTTGCCGCATAGTCAAACCAATCAGTGATATGATTGGAATCATGTTAGATCATGTTATTACCACATTTGAGCAAATACTCTCACATGTGCTCAGAAGGACTTGCAAATCTTGTCAATATGTTTTTTGGTTGTGATAAAATGTTTATGATAGTCATGTCAAGTAAACCAGCCTCAAGGTAGACAGGAACAAAAAAAGTATTTGCTTATTCAATATGTAAACACACTATTCTTTGCCAATTTTTAATCTAAACAGCATTTGTTATATTCATTGAAATGACCTCAAAATAAAAGGAAAAGAATAAAAAACCTAAACTTACATTTCAGAATATATATATATTCTGAAGTGAAAGAAGGTACACATGTTCTTTTAAGATGCATTTCAAGTACAACTCATGTATTTTCATTGAAAATACAATTTTTTTTAATGGTTTTGCCAGATTTAGGGTAAGGCACAACTGTATAAAATATTGCATAAATGTGAACAGAAATGTGAAATGAATATTTTCTGAAGTTTCTGCCCAAATTGAAGCAAGTTTCTTCTTTTTAAACATTGAGAAATTTTCTGAAGTGTAATTGATAAGAAAAAATATTTTATAATGATGCTCACTCTAGCGTGAGGTCCTACCTCCAATCAAAAAACAATGCACACTTTTTGCTGGCAAGTGTAGGAACCAAAGAATATTTAAATCTAAATTTAATGTAATATTTAATGCATGTATTAAAGATTACTTATTAAAGGGTACTAGTTCTTAACATATTTCAGCTTTAACACACATGATTTTTTTTATCTCAGGCTGTTGAAAAAAATTTGAGAAAATGCTGAAATAAATGCAATTAATCAGTTTTTACAAATTTCTGTCATAGGAAGGTTCTATCTTTTGCAAGTTTTACTGTGTACTTACATTAGCATATATGATTCATTATAAATCAATGTTCTTTATTAAATTAATCATTATGAAGATTATACAATTGGAAACCAAAATGTGACATTATATTAACCAAAAACCTAATTTTACTGAATTATTTATAGGCTATAACTAAGTAATTAAACTACAAAATCTGGCTTAAAAATAGATAGGACATCATCTTATGCTACTGTTAATAATTAATTTTGAATTAAATAAATTAATTCCTAAAAATTCCAGAAAAAAAAAATCATCTTGGCACAGAGCTTGAACCCACATCTTATGCAAACTATGTGAGTGCAATTAATGTGTATGTGATCTAAAACAGGTCTAGAAGCAAAGATTGCTGGGAGATCCAGTCCACATAACTGATAACTAATCTCAATGGTATGTGGAAGATGCATGTTTGAGTCTCACAGTGGGATGATCTTTTCTTTCAGAAACTTCAAAATTAATTTATAACACTGCATGATACCACTTATCTCAGACCAAACTTCATATTTGATTACTTAATAACTCATAAATAATCCAGCAATTACATCTACCTAATAGAAAAAATTTTGGGATTCAACTTATAATTAAATTTCAATACTGTTTTCTATTAACTTGAGTTTAATGATTGGCATGTACAAAGATGTCTTAAAACAATGGTTCCCAAAAAGGATAGTGAAGTTATCTAAATTGCACAAGTATGGGTGCAAGGAAACATTAAAAGTACAGGCAACAAGGTGACTGCCTTGAGTGGCAGCAAAATGTGTAGTCAAAAATGATCAAAAGAAGAAAAATAAATAAAAATAATAAGTCATATATAGTGAGGTTCTGTAAATATACTTTAAAGTTGTTTATAAGCAGTTCATATAAGAGTATCAGTGCTATATGTGCTCTCTAATGACAACCATTTTGAAAGCAGAAGCAGCAAAAATTCAGAATTTGTAGTAGTGACAAGCAAGTGAAATGTAATCAACCTTAAAATAAAATCAGACAAGACTGGATATATCTCCCTATATCAGCTGGTTTAACTCTGATATAGGGACCATGTATTTTTCTGCTGTATTTGTGGCTAGGATAAAAATTGAGCAGCACATGAATGGGTCAAATGGGCACCAGAATGTCAAATGGTTAATCACAAGAAATACTGGGAGGAAACTCCAAATAGTTCTTGTGATTAACCATTTGACTCTCTATAAAACTATCCTGACTAGCACAGTTTTAACTCAGGGATATAATTACCTTGACCAAGCTGAGAGAATGAGTGAGGGAGGCTAGAATTGTGAAAAAAGAAATCAGATTCTGCATTGAGGCAATGCACCAGCTCACAATGCTTTTGTTGTGAAGCAATTTTTAGCCAATATGTGTATTCCAGTGCTTAAGAACTCCCACTTACCAGATTTAGTCTCCCATTGTTTTTACCTATTTTGCAAAATAAAAAAATGCATTAATAAAAACTCTTTCAATTTGCTGATGAGGTAAAATTAAAAATGGCAGGCCTGCCAAAGAGGCTTTCAACAAAATTAAACAATAACCCACAACATAGCTTTGTATAATGGAAAATTCATCCACAGTTGAGTATAGACCAAAGAAGATACTTTGAAAGGGATGCACATTACTTTGTAAGATTTTGAAAATAAACCCAATTTTTGACATCAGTCCCATTAGTTAATACCTGCACCTCACCTCACCTGTTCCAAACTAGCTGGGTGCCTTGTGCTTGGTAACCCAGTCATTGACTCCCCTGATGTCCCTAGATTGTTTGCCTTTGTGAAGACCCATACGCAAGGGTAACAACTTCGTCTGGTGGTAGACAAAGCAAGAGTGCCTGCCTACCTGTAAGTTGGAGAAGGCCATGCATACTCTTCTCAGTCCCCACTTGGAGGGCTACTGTTACACCATCACTAGTCCAATGGAGCTCATAACAGAATTGACAGGGGTCACCTCCCCTCAGTACAGTACATCACGGTGTTGGACTTTAAGTCTCTCTACCCCTCCATCGAGCTCCTTCCTTCCATATGAAGGTCATAGTTCTACCTCCTATAACCTCCTAAGTTCGCCATAGCTCCCTCCTTCCTTTTGTGTTCTCAGGGAAATCCTATTTCACATTGTCAAGGATAAATCATTACACCACCTAGTGCTGGAGATGACACACTTAATTTGTTATAATTTGGTTTTACAGTTCAATGGCAACATCTACACTCAAGGAAAAGGGGTCTCCATAGGTAGCCCTATATTGGAGACCTTTGAGAAATGGTAGTATGACAGTTGGAAAACAAGTTCCTTCCTCAGTTCCTCCCCAAAATCCTGTTATATAGAAGGTATATTGATAACATCATTATTTTTTGGAAGACAGTTCCAGATCTGATGGTGTTTGTCAATACTATCAATAGAGCGTTTCGTCATCTACACATTCTTCCAATCCCCAGGCTCTCGATGCCAAATTAGCATTTATAGAGCATGCGCTCCATAAATGCTAATTGTAATAACCGTAGAACATGGTTATTGCAATGTTACACATGGGCTGATAGAATGTTATCAGCAAATGCACTCAGGACACATCCCCATAATTGACCTGCTGAGTGATAACCAATCAAACGATGTAGAACAGGTCCCTATCACCTTTAACCCGTACTTAAGATCCCTACATGCCAAAATTGCCAGGAAATGCCAGGTGTGTCTTGCTTACAGGAGGTGCCCGAATATTTTTGGGAAGGACCCTACAAACCCTAACAGACTCCCTGGCGATAGAGATCTGGTATACATAGGGTCAACTAAGTGCTCCATGGGGATCAGATTACAAGAACACCAGCCTGATATACATCATGCAAGAACCACCACGGCCCTCTCTACGTATGCAACAGATCTGGATATCGTAGTGAACTTTAACTGGGCCAAACTCATCCTCACTACACCTCCCATGGAACACCTCAGACGGTTGGAGGCTGTGCACATTTTTAAATCCAGTTTTACATCTATGTGCATAAATTATAAAGAGGAAATAGTTTTGTCAATGGCCTGGCAAGAGTTGACTGCCAGCACAGATTAGCTGTTCGTTGAGTCCTGGTAGGGCAACTCTCTGCATAGGCGCAATGTGGTTATAATAATTTTCGAACTTATATTTGAACTCTTGTTCGAATTTTATTCCAAAATGAAGATCTATTGAGGAAGTGTTAAAAAACCTGATGAAGGACTCAGAAAGGAGTTTGAAAACGTTCATTTTTGTTTGTTTCGTCATCTACACACCATAATTGGTTCAGAATACATGATTATCTGCACCTCACATAATGCCACCTATAAGATACTGATTGTTGAAATGAAACCAAAGTAGCCTGTCAAACAGACATTAGACTGCAATTGTAAAACACTAGTTCAATCATCTATCTTAATATATAACTATGATTCATTCATAATCTCATTATGAGTTTATAACTTCAATGCATTTGAAAAAAACTGCAAAGCCATTAGCTCACAATTATAGTTTATGAAAGTTTAAATTAAATAATATATAAAATCACTTACTTCATTTTATATGTTTTTGCTCCAATAGCAAGAGCTAACAATTGATGTCCTAAACAAATTCCAAAAACAGGTTTCGGCTTAGAAAAATTTAACACCTTGGCAATGTTGGAGATAGTCTGCTTGCAAAACACTGGATCTCCTGGACCATTACTTAAAAATAACCCATCAAATTCTATAAATAAATATAAAAATTAAACATATATAACTGCAGTCAAATTGCCTTAAATGAACAATAATAAGTTTGCAGTTGCCTTGACAAAGACTATTGTCACAATGTTAATTTTCATGTAATAAAGTAAGCAAAAATTTACCAGAATTTGTTAAACTGAACTGTAAATTACCTTCACAACCACAATAAATTACCCTATTTCCAAAAAATAGTTACTTTTTACACATTTTAATGTAAACAATAAAAAGTGGTACTGTTATAAATGTTCCATTTTGAGTTGAATAGATTTTCTTCTCCTAGTAAGTAAAGACAGTTTGATTTCCAAATGTAAGCAAATTCAAGCATCTGATTTTAGCAGACTATTCTACTGTACTTTTTATTTTATTTTATTTGTGGTTTTAGGCCCTTTACTGCTTAGAGAGCACAAAAAGGCCAATTCTACTGTAATTAGAAAATTTCCTACTCAGTGGAAAAAGGCTAGTGTCAAAAGATTCCCAAACCCACAAGTGCTAACACTTATAAAAAATACAGGCCGATCCGCCTTCTCCCAACTCTGGGAAAAGTGTTAGACGGTCTAATGATTAATAGGATTACATGGCATCTATACAATCATAGAGCCCTGCATCAGAATCAGTTCTGCTTCTCTAAAAACAAAGGTAAAGTAGATGTCATCCATCAGGCCTTTAACCACATCCACCAGGCTAAACAAAACAATCAGCATACCGCAATTATCACTATTGACTTTAGAGGTGCCTTCAATCACGTCTGGTGGTCTTTTATCCTGCACACATTACATGCTCATCACTGCCCTCAAAATCTTTACAAACTTCTTCAGTCCTATCTTAGCAACAGGAGTGAGAGTGTTTTTAAGAGATATTTTATTATAATTATGTTTTAAGAGATTAGTTTCCTAATTCAAAAAGTTTAAAGAAAGCATCATTATAAATATTTTAATGTAAATTATTCATAGTAATTTACTTGTACAATATTTTTTCTTGGGACTCTTTCTGCCCTCTGAGTACTAAAATTAAGAGGGCCTTTTTTGGGCCCATCTTGAGTTTGGATAGGCTCACAATGGGCAGTCAGGTGATGAGGGATGGAGTTCAGCACATCCATAGTCAAAAACATTAAAAATTTCAACATCCAATATTTAATTCTGGTTTCCAGCAGTAGGCTGACACCTTAATTGCCTCAGCCATCTGGCCAGGAGTAATTTACAATTATTGATCATTAGATAATATCTTATTAAAAATATCTTACCATCAGGATTCAATGAATGATCCCAAGGTACAACTTCCACTCTTGCTCCTCGTTTCAGTAAACATCTAAGTTGATTATATTTTAAACCAATATCGACTACTGTTATACGTGGATGTCCATTTGGATTATACAATTTCTTTTTCTGAAATCAATGCAAAATAAGAATGAAAATGTTTGATCTAGTCTTTCCTTATAAAAAACATTACTACATTGAGTAGTTATATGTAACCTTTTCCAATTTGATAATTTTATATTTTGTTAAAACAATTTTAATCTGTGATCATTGTGTGGTAGAAGCAATTTTTCACATTTTGTTTTTCATGGGCATTTTTCACCAAATTGAATTCCTTAGCTCTGTTTCCATGATATCATCACACTGTGTGCTATTCATCCCATCTATGTAAAAATTTTGATCAAAAAACATTTTTTGCTCATCACAGATACTAAAAATTACCTTTTGCATGCAATCATGAACAATTTTCCTTTATTGTCATGCAATCACATATGCAATTTGACAATTTTTCACACTGTGACCTGACATCATTTTCAATGATGTCAGGTCAGGTCACACTGCTTTCATTTTCAATGATGTCATGGAAATTTCTCACGACTGCTACAAATGGTTGGCATAACATCATGGATGTTTATTAGTCATATTTAACAATATTTATTTATTTAGAAAAACTCAATACATAAAATTAATTTTCAGGAGAAGGGATAACATTAATTACTTTGATTAATAAATTATATTTACACCAAATGGACTCAACTGAGTCGTTGTTGGAGAAAAGTCCATGAATTCTATCTGTCCGATCATTACAAATAGCATTAATAGTACAGATGACATTATTAGAAAATGTTGACAGATGCAAATGCTCAAATTCCTCACAGTCAAACATATAGTGGTACAAAGTCAATTTCCATTCTTGCAATAAGGACACATTTCTGATGAACATAGATCAATACACAAGTGCTTCCATCTTAAATGAAACTTAAGGTGAATCTGGATGATTGTTTTTTAACTATAAATGGTAGCTGCTGATAACAGGTGTAAAACACTGGTTGTTGTCTAATATTTCTAAGTACCATGAATGATACTTAGCTTTGAGAACCCTGTCCCTTCTTCTCTCAGTTAAAGATTGTCAAACTCATGTAAAATTGTATTTATATATTTTAAAACTTCTGAAAATGAATCTATTAAAGAAAGTGAGATACCTATTCTATTAAAAAGACACTCCAGTTTTGTGAACCAACTATAAATTGGTGATCTGATCGATGAGAACTTCTTCAAGGTTAGAAAGCCTTGTATTCCAAAGAGGATGGGTCAGAAATTATGTTTCTCAGAAAGTTTAAAGTTAATTTAACAAATATACAGATCAATCGAAACCCGATATCTTAAGCAAATACACCTACAACTGCCGTAAATAATCGGGCTAAATTTTGGATGGTTATATCTTAACTTACATATGCCAGAAGAGAAGATTGGACTGAAGGTCTAGATAGCATAACTGGCAATGCATCCGCATGGTAAGCAAGAGTTGCAGGTTTGAGTCTTGCTTCGAGCCAATTTTTTTCTTCCAGTTTCATGTAAATTAATTAATTAAATATTGTAATTGTTAATTTTAATAAGAGATGGTGCCTAATGCCTCACTCTAATGCCAAATTCATTTCTAATCTATAATCATATATCCAAAATTTAGCCCAATCATTTACGGCAGTTGTAGGTGTATTTGGTTAATTTAACAAAACATTTCCTGGGAAACTCAAGGCCCAATTCAGATCTAGTTGCATATGATGAGGTCGACCCCTCAAGAAAAAAAAAAAAAAGGCAATAGATCAGTTCTATAGAGTCAATGTCATCAAAACAAAAAGCCCCCAAAAGGGCAGACCATAAGACCAACTCGAAGTAAATAGAGAAGCTGCTAGTTTCTACACAAAACCATATGTCTGTTCTTTACCTTTCTCAAGATGTCTATTACAGTATTTATTTTAGAAAATGCTTTACCTTTAACATAAGAAATATAATTTAGGAACAAGCCAGTAGCTGAGAGACAGATCCCCAAATATGTAACTTCATAAACAATACTAATTTCTCTTCCATTTAAAAAACATATCAGCCTTTCTCAGTCCTTGACCTTTAACAAACAAAATTTAATGGCATCAATCTCCCTAATACCCAAACCTCCCTGCAAAATTTCAAAAATTGCAGGAGTTAAGTTTCAAAGTGAGTGAACAAAATTGTGCTTCATACACAAACACCCAAACATATAGAAAATTCCTTTTTTTTTTTTTTTGTGCATTTCTTAACAAGATCCTTATCCTTAGTCCAAAATGAAAAAATCTTTGGGGGTTACTTTTTATTCAATCAACCCATTAAAATGAGATTCTACTGTATACATAACAACCAGAAAAATATTAAAAAAACTGTTTAAGTAAAAAATAGTAAAAAACATGACTGACGGTATTTACATTTAATAAATAAAAAATATAACATTTTCACAAAGATAAAGTCCTTTGCTTCTGTCTCTCTTTCTGTCATTTCACACCAGCAACAGTCCATAAAAATTCACAAGTTTGAAGATGACCTTACTTTTGTGATAAAATGCAAATGTCTCCATACTTATGAATTTTTATGGACTGTTGCTGGTGTGAAATGACAAAAAGAAAACTGGAAGCAAAGGATTTTATCTTTGTGAAAAAGCTGAATTTTTATATTTATAAAAAAAACCTGCATGTGATTGCAGGTTAAGAAACAGCCTTAGATTTGATCTGTATTATAAGTATGTTCATGTTATATTAAGCTTATATATATATTTTTGTGACTGAAAAAAATAAAGTATGATAATCAAATTGAAAAGAAATCTGTCATTCTCTGAAAAGTGGACAATAATCTGGAATTGTCCAATAATAATTTAATATACTAGTATTCTGAAAATTAAAAATTGTTTGGACATGTCACCTCAGTGTATGTAAAACAGGTTTCTCATACTGAGAAATGTATAACTGTTGTGAATCTTATATATAGGTAGAACATGGTTAGAAATAATTTAACAGAAACAAAATACTGAAACATTGGTTAATTAATCTCAGAAGTATAAAGATTAAGAATTCAAAGATAATAAGAAAATGAAGTTTGAGATTTTAAAACAGTACATAATAGTAAGCATATAGGAGGCTACATGTGTGCAGAAATAAACAGCTGAATTCATAGCAAAGACAGTTTTCTGTGTATGAAGAGACTAAAACTTCTATTTTCCGTAACTGAGGATGATCGTTAAAAAACGATTGAAAACATTTTTATTTTATTAAATTTTGCTGGATTTATATCGGTGTAATTTATTCTTCAACTAAAACTGGAGTAGGACATTTTAGAAAGAAGGAACAAATAAATATTTAAAGATGATGAGAGCCTGCCGTCAGCGTGGAAGTACATGGTTAAAAAGTTCACTAAAAACTCGGGCTAGAATTAGTTTATTATATTTTTTATTTTATATGTTTTTCCGTTTCTCTTGTATATTTCTAAACATTTTTGTTCTAAATTTTGATTTAAATATTTGTATTCTATACATGGAACGTATCTGTTCCATTTTCGTTTTTGACCTGATAATGACCTGTTAATCAGACTGAAAACATTTGTTTTCAATTATATATTTTCTCAGCAAACAAATTAAGGTGTTTTATTTTTATGTAAATATTTAGATCTTTTTAATAAACCGAAGGACTTTACTTTGGTATTCTATTTGTAGAAGCAAATTATTTTTCAAAGTTTATGACATGAATGTGAGATGAATAAAAAAAATAATTGATTACATAAGAGAGTTTATGAGCAATAACTGCATACAAATGCTTCAAAGCTATCATAATGTAAATATATCTCATACCATCAAGATAAACACATTCCATGCCAGATCAAGTCTTCATTGTGACTCTCCTGACACTCAAGGCATTCTGTGTTTTCCTCTAATGTAGTTAACTTTGAAGATGACAGAGAATATGTGAAAGTTGATGGTTTTGAGAACTAGAGGTCGAGTTGTCAACCAGCATCACATCCTTTCTTGCATTTTATTCCTTCAGCTTTTATGCTTTATTTTTCCTTTGAAAGATTTTTTGCAAGGAGACAAAAATATTTCTATTTTTTTTACCTCCTCATTCCCTTTTCTTTTCCACTGTGCATTTTGTAAATAAACATGGAATTTCTCAAGATCTCAATGAAAACAATTTCTCAAGATTAGATGAAATAAGCATTTGATCTTAAGAATGATGATGATAATTTTGAAATTGGAAACAATACAGGATGGTAATTAAAGTCCAGGAGAAACAGCATAAACACATAAAATGACTACAATTATATGACTGATTACCATGCATCTAATAAAATTCAATCACCCTCTGCAACAGCATTAATTCTCTTAAATCAAGTGAAAATCATCCTTTAGAGGATATATACAGAATTAGAATATAAACAAAATATACATACAACTGTTTAATGCTTCTTACATAAAACAAAATATTTTGCGATGTTCAATGTTAACTCAGGACATTCTTCAATTTTTGAAGTTAGACTATTTACAAAAGCATATTAATATTTTCGAGTCTATCATTAAATCCTTTTCACACAATCACAGAAGACACAGTCATATTGGTTAGAAAATAAAACTTCTTTAAAAGACAAATAATAAACGGTAAAAAATTCACAACGTTTAAAAGTGATCAAGCGTCAGCCTTTTATTGTAGGATCTGACGTTTTTTACATTAAAAACTTAAGAATCTTCTCACCAACCATCAAGTCCTTTGCCAAATTTTATAACTGGTTCATCCCTCTAGTGGCAGTTACGAGTAAATCATATTGAAGAATGTCCTGATTTAACATTGAACATTGTGAATTTATGCAAATGAAATTGATTTACTCGTAACTGCCACTAGAGGGATGAACCAGTTATAAAATTTGGCAAAGGACTTGATGGTTGGTGAGAAGATTCTTAAGTTTTTAATGTAAAAAACGTCAGATCCTATAATAAAAAGCTGACGTTTGATCACTTTTAAACGTTGTGAATTTTTTACCTTTTATTATTTGTCTTTTAAAGAAGTTTTATCTTCTAACCAATATGACTGTGTCTTCTGTGATTGTGTGAAAAGGATTTAATGATAGACTCAAAAATATTAATATGCTTTTGTAAATAGTCTAACTTCAAAAATTGAAACAAAATATTTTGTTTCATGTAAAAAAAAATAGTAAAACTGAACAGAACTTTGCAATGACTAGAGTCAAATCATTAATAGCATAGTTTGAAATTATTATGCATTTAGAAAGCAGACATTTGGCATACTTCCTACAGGTATCAATATATAAATATTTAAAAAAATTAATTAAAAGTTATTTCATTCAATTTATAATAAAAATAATTAATACCTTTATGGATACATCACAAATGAGATTTCTTTTATTGGGATCAGAAAAGGGAATCAATGTAGGTGACACATTCTCTAACACTATCTAAAAATATAAAATATTTATTTTGAACTTTCTTTTATGAAAATTCACAAATTATACACTTTAAAGAAATGAGAACAATTTTAAGAATTTAATTATTGTTTAAACTTTGCAAGAATAGAAAACAAAGTTTATTTATTTGTTTATTTTTACATAAAAAATTAAATCTCAACTAAATATTTGATACTGCAAGATGGAGGGCATATCTTCAACATTTTTCAAAGCTGACCAATTGATTTTATAATTGTCAATGGTAAAAGCTAATATATGTATATATAAACCAAAAGGTTTACACTAATTTTACACCACTAAATCAACTTTTTGAATTTATGTTTAGATATTTTGAATTTAAATAGTTTTAACATTACACCTTCATGACATTTTTCACAAATGTTCATTTAAATATCACAATTTATTGCACATTCAAAGTGTTTTTATAATTTATAACATTTATTTCTTTAAAACATATTTGTGTATTTTAAGAAAAGTACATTAATCATGAAAATATATTGTAAAATTAAATTTTCAAAGCCTACTATTTTTCCTAATTTTTAAAATTCCAAGCATTAATAGTTTCTTAGAATTATTTTGGAATAAAAGAAGTAAATACTGCAGTGTAAGTAGCATATTTGCATTTATTTCTTCTGTACTAACAAAGTTGTATGCAGAAAGAAATAAGAAATAAATAAATAAATAAAAAAAACTAAATATAAAAACTTTATCTTTCTTATTTCACTTTTCAATACAATATTCGGTTATACATCAGTTTTCTTTTTATTATATTCTGAAGGAAATTTTGCATAATTTGGCTGCCCCCAGACAAACTTATGGGCCCCTTGTTAAGAAATACTGGGCTAAGTGACTAATAAAAATCGATACAGGGATTTGCGTGCTTTGTAGTCATCAAGTAAGCGTACTTTTTCAAACATCTTTTGCTTTTTTCAGTAACTGATTTATTAAAAATTTCAGTTTAGCCACCACAAAGCTGTTAAGTTAGTTACTACAACAGAAAAGTTTATAGTTTTTGGTATAATAAGCTTAATTCCAACAATAAGACAGAAGTTTAATAACATTAATATGTGTGTGTTGTTTAACATTAATATGTATGACGATAAGTGATGATTGACAACTAACCAGATTAAACTTTTCTAACAGATAAAGAATATTGTTCAACTTCTTATAACCTACCCTTCTTCTCTATTCTTATTTCAAGCCTGTCTTTATTTGACAGCTAAGATCAAACTTTGTTGTCTGAAAGAGTATTTTAACTGATTCTTTTTTTTCATTTTAAGATATTTCATATGTAATTAATTCTTTCAGAATATTGTAGGCAGGATATTACATTTTTGTAAGATTGGTTATGGATGACAGCATCCAATATTTAGAGTGTCTGCTATTTAGAGGTAAAAATGTATGTTATGTAGAGGTGTTTGCTATTCAGGAGTGTCCATTAATAGAAGTTTCACTATATTAATTTATTTTGAGATTGATGAAAAAACAACTGAAAATGATAGCATATAAAGAAATTTTACTGTATTTTAATGGTTTTAGTGTTGGTAATATTACAAATGTAGTTCCTATAGAAGTAAACGATATATTTTCATGATTAATACCATTTTTCTTAAAATACAGTAATATATTTCAAAGAAATAAACATTATAAATTATAATAACAACTTTTAATGTGAAATAATTATGATATTTCAATAAACATTTGTGAAAAATATTATTAAAGTATAACTTTTTAAAGAAGGGTAGGGCAACTGAAGGTGCAAGTGTGACACGATTTTTAATTTTTTGAGCTTATATTCGAACATTTGTTTGAATTTTTATTCCGAAAGCTTTTACAAAGATCCATCAGGTAATCATTACAAAACCTGATGAAGAACTTGAGTGGAGTTTGAAAATGTTTGATTTTTGTTTTTGTTTTGTTTATGTGCACACTGTAATCGGTTCAGAGTATGTGAATAACTTTTTAAAACTATTGAAATTCAAATATATAAACATAAATTCAAAAAGCTGATTTAGTGGTGTGAAATAAGTTAATATAGAACATTTTTCTAATTAGCCTAAAAATATTCAAACCTTTATACAAGGTACTTCAAAAAAATGTTAACATTTATTGGAGAAGGTGGCAGTCATTGTGGCAAGAGTAATAGAGAGGTACTTTTTTTGAGAACTCCACAACTATGTTGTGACTTCTTGTACGTAATGAAAAATTAGGCAAAGGAAATAAGGCATAAGAAATTATAATATTAGTGTTAACATCTTTTAGATACACCCTATATAAGTAATTTTATTCCAAGTGAAAAAGTTTTTGAATTTATTTATGTTTGGTGTTCTAGTTAAAGTTATAAAGTCATTTGGAGTCATATCTACACATCATCGACTTTATACAGCTATAATCAAAAATTGCTAATTATAAAAACAAAATAAATGTAAATTGTTGCATGATTTTATAACAATTTATTAAAAAATTAAAGATATATTAGATATTAAAAATTTTACTTTTCCAAGCATAGTTCCATTGCTCCGAATTCGCTTAGTAAGTTCTCTAGTATCAATACCTTCAAAATAAAATTTTAAAATGTAAATCTTATTTTTAAAGTGGGCAAATCAAATGCATTTCTACCCTGTTACCTTGAATTCCAGGAACATTATGCTCTTTCATCCATTCCGATAAAGATCTTGTTGATAACCAGTGACTACAATAATCGCTTAATTCACCTACAATAAGAGCTTCAATCCAGATTCTCTTAGATTCAAACCATTTGGGAATTCCATATTCATCTTCTTCATCTGATGCTATTCCATAATTTCCAATTAAAGGATATGTTAACACCAAAATCTGACAATAATAAGACGGATCTGTTAAGGATTCGGGATAACCAACCATTCCAGTCTGAAATACTGAAAAAAAAAAAAAGTAATTTTTTAAGGAATTAGATAATTCAGCACCTTAAATATTAAATGATGGTCATTCTTGCCACTTCTTACTTCAATTTACTCTGGACGAATTATTTTTAATAAATCTTTAAAGTTATATATATATTTCTGATTGTCAGTAAGCATAAAATTGCCTAGGAGAACTAATCACACAGGAACACAACAATAATAGATTATACAGGGCTTATTGACTACAAATTAAACACTAAAGCTCTCTAATTCTAATTTTCAATGTTCTGCTAGGCTCAATTAAGTAATAATATTTTGGTTGGCAATTACATATGATTATTATGTAGATGAGACTAGCAGAACATTAAAAATTAGAATAGATGATAAATATAATTACTCCAAATTCAGCAGTCACAATGCACAGCAATGATGCCAGTTGCAAAATCTCACTTCAGTGCAAAATTCTTAAAAAAGATAAATATTATCAAAAGAAAATTTTTCAAACTACAGAAAATAAATTGAACTTAGACACACACTACCATCAGTGGGATTTGGCAGCCACTACTTTAGAGCTTTGAGAAGAGTCCATTTTAAGATATACTTCTCTCCTTCAACTTTTTACTTTATCATTACGCTGTACCTTGCATCTTTCAGTTTTGCTGGTTGTGCAGTGGTGTTTTAACCTTTTAGTATTTTAATGGTTTTAATATTATGTTATTATGTTTACATTTTTATTTTTACCAATTTTATATGTAGTTTTACATTTTATATTTTACAGGTATTCCTTTGTTATTTACATTTTTAGGCTATTTAGTTTATTTAAATTTTATATCTTTTATTTAATTTTCAGTAATTATTTATGAATCTAGTTGTCATTCACATAACTACCTTCCTCAAAAGTGAAATTGCAACATCATGAAGAAATGTGCATAACCACATGCACATTGCAGGACTGGTAGAAGTGACTGATATATACAAATGATTAAAAGAACAAACAAGGATATGCAACAGACACCTGTTTATTCAATAACAAATATAGTTCCCATGGGCAGCTATACAGCCCATTACATGGCAAGGTATACTATCAAAGGAGTAATTAATGATTGTCTGAGATATATATCCCTTGCTAAGCTGCGGCACACATGTTGTATGTGGTGGTGGTCCCAGGTGCAACTCACATTGAACAAGGTCCCACAGGTGTTTGATGGGAGAGATCTAGCAAGGCTGCCAGCTAGGGAACAATGTGAATTCCATTCAGACTGCTGAGAGTCTGCGGGGCGATGTGCAGTTAGGCATTTTTTTGCTGTAACACCATATTGGGTGCGGCTTGCTCTGGTGGCCAAGCCACAGACCCCACAATTTTTGTGACAAACTGGTTCTCTATCAAAGTACTGAAAATGTACACTGAAGCTGTCCACTAATTGAATATAATGCCTGGTACATGGCAAAAAGGGCTGGAATGTAGCATTCCCTGAGATACTGCCATACCCTTCTATAGACATCATTTCTCCACAGAAAAAAGTGGATTCATCCATAAACAATACTTGATGCCATTCAGTGATCCATGACACCAAGCTAGGTGTACAGCTCTATTAAAACATTAAAAAGAACATGCTCAGCAAAAAATAAATAATAATAACCAAAACACCTTTATCATTGCCGAGAAAGTTTAATCAAAACAAACGTTTTCGACCTATGTCAACAATACTTTATATTTTAACAATTTATTTACAAGTAAAATTTAATAAATCCAGTAACATTTTCGATCCAGTTTGATGGATGTTCTTTAACTCTATGTGCAATAATCTAGAACCTCTGTATATAAGTTTCTAGTTTTATAAAAAATTGTACGAGTAAATTGTCATTAAATCAGACCCTACTTGAGATACGACATGACCCCCTTTATCATCCCATTCCATCAACCTTTAATCACCAAAATTTAACTGAATCAATCACCTAATACACTAACCTCCCTGCAAAATTACAGAAAATTTTGACAAAAAGCACAGGAGTTATTAAGCTTCAAAGAGGGTAAACAAAATTGTGCTCACACACACATATACATTAACATCCATGCATACAGAAAAAATCCAGCAATGAGAGTTGTGTTACTTTCCCAGCTCTTATGAGATTTTGTTATAAAAACTTTTTATATTTTTAATTACTATAAATGGCAAAAAGCTTAATTTTGTGGATAGGGATGAATTTTATTAAAAAAGTGTAAATGTTAATAATGAATAAAATCATCATTAATTCTAACTCCAGTTGAGATATGAAACATGGCCCCCTCTCTATCTCCCCATCCCTAGACCTATTACCACCAAAATTTAATAGATCAATGCCCCTTATACACAAGCTGCCATGTCAAATTTTGTTTCTTTATCTTCACATCATCCTGAGTTATTAAACAAAATAGATGCCAACACACACACACACACACATTTCTTTTGATTTTTTTTACTTTTTTGTGTTCAGATCTCAAAACAGAGATTTGCAAAAAACTCAAAGGGTCAAGTTTGATACAATTCCAATGCTTTCCCTTTTTATGTATACATAACAGCCAGGAAAGTAAAAACTTCTGAAGTTTTTTTGCATTTCTTGATGTTTTGGGGTCCCAAGTCCAAAAATGTAAAAATCTTGGGGAAGGGGCAATTTTTTGATTGATTGTCATACTTTCTCTTTGTTATGTGTAACAGCTAGGTAAGCGAAAAAGGTCTTTATTGTTTGATCATACAGCTAAATAAATGATAATTTTTCTGTTATACAGTAGTAATGAATACGCTGCTTTTTTATTTTTGGATATTTGATTTATTACTTCTAAAATGTTATGAATTAAAAATAAAAGTTGATCCCATATTTCAAGGTCTAGCAAGTATTAAATTTGACTGATTCTACACTTACCTTATCAGGAATATTTAATTCATAAAATGATTTACTGTATTTATAAATATAATTTGGCTGATTCAAACTCATCAAAATTAAGAGATTATTCATAAGAATCTATAGTTATGTAGACAATCTAGCAAATAAATATTTTCTTCTGTATCTTATCCCATTTTATATGGAGTCAATTCTATTTAATTAATGAGTTTCTTCCACTGTATCTGATTTGCAATCTTTCCTCAACCCATTTCTTTAATTTCCATTTCAACCATATCCATTCATCTCTTCTTTAGACTTCTCTACTTCCCTCTATGACTTGTCTTCTGAGACAACTTTCATCCATTTTTATGACATGCCCATACTAACTTATTATAGCCCCCCTTATTGTATTTTTTTGACAGTATCAATAATTTTAACTGTATTCACCTTTCATTAACTCATATATTAGCACTTTCATTTCTGCTACTTGTATTCTTCTTAAGTTAGCTTTCTTTAGTGTTAAGGTTTCTGTACCATAAGTTATGAATGGTTGCATGACTTTCTCGTATACTTCCCCTTCAAGTTGAGTGATATCTTTCTATTGCTTGGATTCAACCATTCATTTCTTGTTCAACACCTTTGTTGACCATTGAGCTAAGGTAAGATAATCTAAATCTGTGCATTTCCTTCATTTTGTTTCCTTCTAGAGTTAGATTCTTATTGTTTATTTTTTCTATTACAGCCATATATTCTCTCTTACTTTTGCTAACTTTCAAACCTTTTTCTTTCAGCTGTTTATTCCAACTTTCTAGTTTCTCTTGTGCTCTGAATAGAAAAATGCTATCTGTAAATAATATGCTCTGTAGTATTTCTCCTCTCATCTTCTCTGTTGCAACACCAAATGTCAACAACACTTTATAGTTGTTATTCTCTTTTGATTTATTCCACAGTTTTTGTAAATACATTTTGATATAGGGTGTCCAAAAAGTTACTGTGCAGTGAGAAATTTGTAAGGATGCATATGAGACTTGTAAGTTTATATCTCATGCTTCCACTTTGTCATTAGATGGTGTTATCCCTCACTCACAGATATTTCTGTTTTTAGACTACACTTTTTGGAATACTTCTTTGCCAATTGCATAATCTCCCAAATAATCTGGCTCCCTAGGTCTCAGGGTCTCACTCCCCCAGATTTTGGGGCTTACATGGAAACATTTCTGGCACTTGCTGTAGGAGAAACTGCTATATCATACATAAAACTCCACTTTTATTAAAACTTTACTTAAACCTTTTCAACTGCACAATAACTTCTCAGAAACTGGAACAGGGATCAACAGATGACAAAAATAAACTACAAATTAATTCCAGCAACATGTTACTTCAATATACAAACATTTTCAGCCTTAATAGGTTTAAAATAATCTAAACACCTTAGTAATTCCAGCAACAAAGTATTTAATAAAATAAAAACGTTTTTGACTATATTTAATATTTAATTTTTAAACCGTTGTATTGCTTGCGTTCTATTTTACATTCGTTTTCGTTTTAAAGAGGCTTAACTGAAGAAGACTGTTAAATATAGTCGAAAACGTTTTTATTTTATTAAATACTTCGTTGCTGGAATTACTAAGGTGGTTTGATTATTTTAAGTACAGTAGAGCCTCGAAAACTCGGCACTCCGGATAACTCGCCCACACCCTGGCAGGGCAAAAAAATCCTTAGTTAATTAATTTTCATTATAGACAGCTTTATAAAAATATAAAAGCTCTCATAAAGTATTTTTCTGAGGTCTGTCTTATCAGGTAAATTACTGAATGCAATGTGTTCATTAATTTTCATTTTCATGTAGTAACGGCTCTATGTCTTCGTAAAGGACGTACTTTTCCTTTGTTTAAGGGTATTTGGGCAGTTTATTCTCTGTTGTATTCTCAAGTAAACAATACATACAAGTACAGTATAGTATTTTCTGAGGAAACACTCATACTTATTTTTTTAACCCCATTCCCGATAACCTGGCATTTTCACAAACTCGGCCACCCTTCGGTCCACATTAGGCCGAGTTTTCGAGGCTCTACTGTATTTATATTCCAGTAAGTTATTTTATCTTAATAGGCTTGCTTCAGGTCTTACATAGGTGTTCCAAATCATATGTTAAACAAATTTAACATTTAGAAAAATATTTTTTAAACTTATAACCAAACATCATTTAATATGCATTCTTTAAACTGAATGTAAATTTTTATAGACAGAGTATATAAGACCTGAAGCAGGCCTATTAAGAAGACTGAAAACATTCCTGTATTAAATTAAAGTGTTGCTGGAATTATTTTATGATTTTTTCTTGTTGTATAAAAAGTTTCTTTTTTACATTACAATTAATTCATCATCAAATACTTAAGCTATTCTTTAGCATACATTTCAAATATATTTAAATGAACATACCAACTTCTCCAGCAACATTTCTTTCGGCTCCAAATAATGAGCCTGTGAATTTCATTCCATCTTCAAGAATCAGATGAGCCAACATCGTGCCCTGTAAACATAAATATCAATTTAATTAATCTAATTTATTTCTTTCTCCGATGACTTTAACATGTACACCTCTCTGTTTTCTTGGCAAATACAGATAAAAAATTTCTTTGTTGCTTAACACTATGTAGTGTAATAAATTCAAATACTTGGCATTCTTTCATCTTTATTTTAATTTAGTTGATTCCCATGTTTGTTGTCTTGATGTTGGTTCTCTTTGTAAGATGAGAACCATTTCTCTTTCTATAAAATCGTTTGATAATCCGAAACCGTGTTGTAAGTCTTCTTTGTTGCTTAAACACTACAGGAAATCAACTAAATTAAAATAAAGATGAAAGGATGCCAAGTGTTTGAATTTATTACACTACAAAGTGTTTAAGCAACAAACAAGACTTATGACATGGTTTCGGATTATCAAAAAATTTAAAAATTTCTATTAAAATCCTAGTACTTTTGGGCTTAAATTCTTAAACCTTAGCACTTTGAAAGGGCTGAAAGTATTTGCATTTAAGAGAAATATTTTGATTTTGATCTAAAAAAAAAATAATAAAAACAAAAAAAAGTAAAGTGTAAATATTAACTTAATAAATTATTAATTAAATTAATTAAATAATATTAAAAATTATCATAAATTATATATAAATTCTAAAAAGTTTGTTATTTACTATATTAAAATTACTACCATTCTTACTAAAAAACAACCTTTTTAAAGTAACTTAAAAGCAATAAATATGATGATAAAACATTATATAAATTAATGATATTACTAATGAGTATAAAAGCTGATTGTAAAACTGACAAAATATGCTATTACTGGCTGATCAGCAGACTAAGACTATGACAATGCAAATACAAGTGACCGAATTTTTCTATTGAGAGATCTTAGTGAGTGGATATAAAAATGTCACCTTATGATGTTTTTTGCTTTCTCATTCTCACCGATCTTGTCATGCAATAACATGAATTTTTCCCTTTTGCTTGAATGTGTAGAAAGAAAATGGGCCAATGACAATATTTACTATCTCTATTTCAAGAATTTTTTAAAAATTGATTATCCTGTATTTCAGGATTTTTTTTGTAGAAAATCTGATATAATGAATAGCAGCAGAAACTGGAGAAAAAGTTAATAAACAAATCAACACCTTATATCACTCAGTAAGTAAAATTTAATGAATCTGTAACATTTTTGATCCAGTTTGATGGATGCTCTTTAATTCTATGCGCAATAAGCTAGAACGTCTGTATATAAATTTCAAAACACCTTCCTCTCTTTTTTCTAGCAAATTCTTTAATTAAATCAAAAGAACTAACATTTTCAGCTATCTTAAATGGCCTTCTTCAGGTTAAGTCTAATTAGAACATCAGTTCTTTAGCTGTCAAAAAAAATTTTTTTTTTTTTAAAGTTTAAGTTTAAAACATTCAGGATAAAGACTATAGTATTTCAATAGTAAATGTTAATAGAGTGGTGTTCCATTTATGTTGGTAAACAAATACAGTCAGCTCCCTATAACACTGTTGATAATTCCATTTTATATGAATTCCATATTGTATGAGTCACTTAGATTTTACAAATATGTGAGCCGTTCACAGCCTGGCACACATATTTGTAAAATCTAAGTGACTCATACATTATGGAATTCATATAAAACGAAATTATCAACAGTGTTATAGGGGGGTCGACTGTATAATAAATAGACACGGAGAATACTTTGTTGAAATGATACTGCATAAGTTAATCCAACTTAATCCTAGCCTTGTTTCAAAAGTAACTTTCTATAATCCTTGCTTGGTGATGTATAAAAACATTATCATAAACAGTAGCAGAAACTGGAAAAAAGTTTTTATTTTTGATGTTTGCTATTTGAATGTGTTGGAAAATACTAAACTATAGCAAGGGTGAATATTAAAAACTACGTATGAACTGGCAACACCCTGTGTAAGACAGCTCAAGGCGGAAAGAAATTGTTGTTCCGTTATGGGCAAGTTATCGATGAGTGAAAAAGTGTATATATAGTCTTAGATTAGAATAAAGTTTAATTATAAGTTAAAGGGCTGCCTCATCATTGTTCTAACAATGGTTATGGACAGGGGCAGATTGGCCATGTGGAAAGTGTGGAAAATTCCACATGGGCCGTATACAATTTGGGCCGTTTTTTCTAAATATGTACATAATGTACTGTTTGGTTAAGTTTAATTTTAAAAAATTCATTTTTTTAAGTTAGGTAAATTTCAATTTTTAGGTGTAATATAGGTATATGTGTAGGTCTGTATCATTTTACCCGGCCCTACCTGTATCTGAAGTTAAATTAGTTTGGCCAACCCGAGTCAAACACTACATTAGCCCGATTCGGCCCAAACAGAAAGCATCCCAGGAGAAAAATAAGAAAATTACCTTCTAAACAGAGAAAATTGGTCATTTGTTTACATTGCTAGGAACTATTCACCACTCCTATGAATCTTAATGCTAAACTATGGAAATGTGAGTTATTAGTTTTGTACTGTACCTAGCCACCAAAGCGATGATTGTAGTCATAACAAATTTAATGGCCACTTATATTATTTCCTTTATTCTAGGTAAGTAAAAAATGTTATTCAATAATAATTTCTCTATATTCCAAATGATTTAATTAAAAATAATCTATTTTGTAGTGTGAGGCTGGGACCTCACCCCCTCTCCAATGGGAAACTGGTTGTCAAGCTAAAGCTAATAAATTGGTGATTTATTTTGTAAACAGGAACGAGCATAAGACAATTTAATTGTCACATTCCTGGGCCAAAGTCACACATCCTTGATCGTAGATCATGGAAGGTGGGAGAGAGAGTGACCAGGGAGAGTTCAACGATCATCTTACACCGAGTTCAAAGCACATTAGACCAAAATTTACGGAACCGTCACCAAATATTCCTGAAAACTCATTTAAAAAATTAAGCAGTATTTTAATACAGTTTAATCCAGTAGCAACTCAACACAATATTATTTCAGAATTACAACATTTTAAATCATCATGGAATATTTTAAAGGAAAATGTCAGTGAAACTTTTATAAAATTAAATGAAAATGAACATTCTACTGATCATCAAGTAAAAACTAATAAAGATGCGATTTTATCCTCTTACTGCATTGCTTGCAAAAATTGCTCTATTTATTGTTATAATATATTTTTCAGATATAACATGTTAAGTAGTGCTTATTCTATACTTTGTCAAGCATACAAATATCTACTATCTATGTCTGTAACACAAGTATCACATGCTTTTCTATAACAAAGCTTTTCTATGTTAAAATTAATTAAAAGCAGGCTAAGATTCTTATAAGTATCTCACAAGAAAATCTAGAAGCCTTCATGTTAATGTCAGTGGAGAAGGATTTTTTAAACGAAATACATTCTGATGATGTCATTAATATTATTGCTCAACAAAGCAAACTTCTAAATGAAAAATTAATGTTGTAGACTTGTGCTTATTGTAATTTTTGTCAATATTGTATTTTGAATATATTTAAATATAAATAGAAAAAAATACATTTTTTTTTATTTATGGGCTGGGACAGTAATAAATTTTCCACACAAAAATTTTAGGGCCAGTCCGTCCCTGGTTATGGACACAGGAATGGAAAATTAAGTATCAAAGGGTAGAATTACAGGAAAAAAAGGGAAATAGAATTATGAAGCCTACAAAAAAATACAAAAAGAACCAGTGTGTAAAGAAAACTTCAATATATGGAAAATACAGATGAAGACACTCCTGATCAAAAATGATTCATGGGAATACATCAGCGGAAAAAGAAAGAAACCAGAAATTATACTTGTAGATGAAAGTACAAAGATGGTGACATAGCAGACTCAATGGCAATGTGTGATATAATTCTTGCCATAAGTCCAGCAGAATTAAAAAGACAAAAGGATGTGAAACCTCACATGAAATATGGAATAAGCTACATGAAATTTTCAAATCAGAAGGTCCTGCAAGGAAGGCCATGCTACTAAAGAAATTATTGGGTTGTTCAGAAAGTAATTTCGTTTTTCTTACCACTAGATGGATTAGTCGTATTCTTCCCGCCATTTTCATTCTAAATCATATTATCATTATATATTTTGACAGCTAGCATTTTAAGGCTTTTTTCTAAAAAATTTTGTTTGATTTTGTGCAATTGTTTATTTTTTTGTGTCCCATCAAATATGGAAAAGCGAAAGCAGTATTTTCAGCATATTTTGCTCTTTTATTACCGAAAAGGTAAGAATGCTATTCAAGCAAGAAAAAATTGTGTGAAGTGTATGGAGAAGATGTATTGACAGAACGACAGTGCCAAAACTGGTTTACAAAATTTCGTTCTGTCAATTTCTACATTGTAGATGTACCACGTTCTGGATGGCCAGTTGAAGCCAATGAAAACAAAATAAAGGTACTGATTGAAGAAAACTGCCGAATAACAACATGTGAAATCACTAAGAGATTAAATTTGTCAAACTGAACCGTTTATGATTACTTGAAACAAATTGAAAGCTCAATATATAGGTTCCACATGCAGAGCCAGCCCTATTATAGGGCGAATGGAGCAGCCGCTCCAGGCACTAAATCCTAGGGGGCACCTCAGTGGTAAAGAAAATTAAAGAGTATAAATTAGGGGCAACCATGGGGGTGCCATAATAGGATCTCACTCCATCCTAAAACTTACCTCGGGCCAGCACTGACCACATGTTCTTAAAGAGAGACGCTCTCTTTGGTGGGATTTTAAGGAAATTTTTTTTTGGAGCTTTTACCAGACAATTTAACAATTGATTTGAAAGTGTACTGCCATCGACTAAACAAATTGAGTAATATCGTCAAACAGAAAAGGCGGCCAGAATTGATCAACAGAACAAGTGTAGTGTTTTACCACAATAATGTCAAATTTCACACAAGTTTGGTAACTCGTCAAAAACTGTTATAACTTACATGGGACGTGCTATCACACCAACCATATTCACAAGATTGAGCACACTCAGATTATTACTTGTTCCGGTC